ATAGTCTTTCTTATTGTGTTGGTATTTGCACCAAGGTAAATCAGCTGAGAACCTAGCAAGAATCAATGCTGTCTCATCAAGCTGCAATTGTAAATGAATTCTTAATCATCCCATGTATTTGCAGGACAAACAAACAAACAAACTAAAAGAACAGTTTATTTTAAAGATGCACTGATTGAACTATTAAAAACTGTTAACTTTATTAAATCACCATCCTCAAATCCACATCTTTTAATATCCTGCCAGATGAGGTGGGAAGAAAATATAAAGCACTTCTCCATTCCACAGTATGATGTTTGTCTCAAGGAAAACAATTTGTAAGAGTGGACCTAGCCTCTTTTACATGGAATATCACTCTTGGTTGAAAGTATGAATGACAGAAAAACTGTCTTGGATATTTGGCACTTTCTCAAAAACGACAACTAGCAAGCCTGCCATTTCAGGGAAACCACCTGACAGTATTATGACCAAAGATAAAATGGAAACTCTCAAGAGATTATAATATTAGAAAACTTGTATCCACTGCAAGTTAGAAAGCTTTCCAAAATTTACAATCTTTTCTGCTTGGATCAGTGGTGATACTAACAAATGTGACTTTCAGACATTTTGTAGTACAATTTGTCAACATTGGAAGATCTGCGCACTTGGTGAACTAATGCATCATTTAAAAAAAAAATCTTATGCATTAATACAAGATTCATCCAATGTGCAAGATGTATGTATGAGTTCTAATAAACAGAATATGAAATAATCTTTTATAGGGTTTCTGATTGAAGTTAGCCTTTAAGAAACTACCACTGCTGTAGCTTTAGTAAAGTATCAAAGATGAACATTCACAACTACTTGGAAAAGCTCTTAAAAATGCTCCTCCCTTTTCCAACCTCATATTTGTATGATGCTTCTTTTTCTTTCTTTCTTTCTTTTTTTGTATACACCTAAAAAAAAAAGATTAATTGCAGAAACAGGTATGAAAATCCAGAAATTATCTATTGACACAGGTAAGAAAGTGATAGTCAAATATGGAAAATCTTCTCTCTACATTGTTTTATTTTGGCAAATATTTGTTGTTCATTAAAATACTATGTTAACATTTAAGTGATTAAAATATTATTTTAAATTAATTTAATTTTTTTTAAATTTTTTAAGTCTCATGTAGTTAATATCGGTAGAAATAACTCACATAAACAAAATCTCTTTGGGTTTCTTATAATTTGTAAATGTGAATAGAAATTCTAAGGAGCCTGGTGGTGCAATGGTTAAGCTCTTGGCTGTTAATCCAAAGGCCTGGTTGGAATTCACCAGCTGCTCTGCAGGTCATCTCCTTTAAAGATTGTTGTTGTTATGTGCTGTCCAGTCGGACCTCATAGCGAGCCCTCCTTGGGTTTCCAAGGCAGATATCAAGAACATTATCCATGAAGAAAGCAAGAGATCACTAAAAAGACAAGAAAAGAAGAGAAGACCAAAGTGGATGACAGAAGAGACTC